TATAGAATTATGAGGTTTGTGGGGGGAAACCATGGCAGTTTGCTGTGCATGAATTTTTCCCCACATCCCTCCCCCTCTGTTGAAAGAGGGCTATTCGTTCTTAATGTAAATGGCCTTTTTGAACCCTCTTCCAAACCAGTGGCCCTCTCTATCCAAAATGTGGACTTTGCTATCTTCAAAAGAGTGGCCTTTGTTTTTTAAATGCAGATGGACTGCTGAATCTTGAGACAAAGGCCACTCTTTTGAACACAGCAAAGTCCACATTTTGGACAGAGTGGATTGCGGGTTTGAAAGAGTGGTCAAAGAGGCTATTTATGTCAAAATTGGAAACCCCCTCTAATTTATTTAATGTGGGGGAGGGGAGAGGGATACAACATCATCTATCTTCTCTCTGCAACACAGTCTGCAACACAGTCTCTGAAAACAGCAGTTCCAAGAAGGCTCTACACCCATTTGCACTACTCCAAGTGGCCTTAACAATTCTCTAAAAGAATGAAAATGCAAGGAATATAAATCCTTCTATTCCCCACCATCCAGTCAGAGCTTAAGAAGCTTCTTGGATGAGAAGCAAAACGTCTTCAAAGAAAAAACAAGAAAGTCCAGTTGCCTCTTGAAAAAAAACACCATTGGGACAACCATGACCTGGATGACTGAGAATCTCCAAAGACATTTAACTGGGTAAGAATGCTTTTAGACAGGAAGATACACACCAAAAATCTCACTTGAGCCCAAATGAGAACCTGCTATTTTTCCCATGCATCGCTTCTAGAACCACAGTGGAGCTATTTATCTTGTGTTAGGCAGCCTCAAATGGCTTATCAAAACTATGCCCAATGACATGGCTGTTTTCATAATCAGATGCCCTGTGGACTTTCTCAATACAATGCTTATGGAGGAGCAAATCTTGTTACAGATACAGTGAAAGAGCTGTTTTAAGAAACTGATTGGGAGGGTATCGCCTGATGGTGGGTCTTTCCCAGCTTGACATCTGTTTCAGTCTGTGACTCAGACTTTAATTTGCTTAATAGCCAGGTACTTTGACTCTCACAAAATCTGTGTGCAAACTACCTTGGGTTCAATCTCTGCCTTCAAATTCCTGTGAATGTTTAACTGTGTTATAGTCTTAATTTTGCTAGCAGCCAAAATACCTAGCTCTATTGCTACCTCTGAGATGGGACAGGGATGGGGGCAGAATATGCGTTCCGCTGCTACTTGGAGTATATAATTGAATCAATCCTGTTAGATTCTAATGCCTAAGCAGGAGTTACACAGAATGCAGCCTTGATGAGGTATGACAAAATGAAAATGATCTGGGAGATTCTTTCTCCCTTTGCATTGCAAATTCTCATGCATTCTCACAAAATAAACATGAAAGATCTTAAAATATCAAAAATGGATTGTAATACAGACTGGAGTATTTTGGACTTTAAAAAGTGAAAACCAATTTCCCTGTTGAGCAAACTGAAGTAATGTCAGGAGTCATATTTTATGACGCAGCTGAAGGAAAATGTCCTCTTAAGATGTGGTCACTTCCAAACATGCCACAATTTTATAATCCCCTTTGATATGGAGAATGTTCCCATCTACGCATAGTAGCTAGGAGGATTTATGGTATAGTGTTGCAATTCATTTGATACCACCTCATATCTATAGATTTTTGCCACCTTTCTTCCTGGAAAATATCTCTTACCCCCCCCCCCAAAAAATATAGAGAGGGAATAGGATGACAAATCTGGGCTTCATTTTCAACACTGTTTACACAATAAACAGTATAAGAGTATTAAACAAGTGTAGAAATTAAAAGATAAGGAAAATGCCATTTATTTTGTACCTATAATCTTGGCACAGTTTGTTTGGCATCTTGAAATATTTTCCTGATCACTTCCTGTTCATCTGAGCTGTTGAAAAAAAATGCAGATCAAGTTTCAGATTCTACACTGTATATATTCACAGGTGATCCCTGCCACAGGATTACTGTTTTAAATTCTTCTGGAATCTTCCCCCGAGATGGATCACACACTGATCTTTCTTTGGGTGCTGCTACCTTCAGCCACAGGTAATACGTTGGGTTTGATTTGGGCAAAGAGATACTTGGTACCAATAAAGGAGAATATTTGTAGCTCAAGGTTGAAGTGAAGGGTCCTCGGTGCTCTCTGAGCTTGGTTGTTTTCTTGCAGACGATTCATTACCCAAACCAGGTAACATCATCAGTGCTCAGAGACTACCAAGGACCCCTGCAAGGGATACTTATTACATTGTCTCCATATACAAGGTTGGAATTGAGCTAAATAATAATGATGAACTGAAAAACAGACTATTTGAACTGCTTGACATTTTAATACAATGACTAGAATGTACTTCTACTGCAGTTTTCTTGGGAACATTATAGATATTTCCTTCAGAGTTTTTTTCCCCCTTCTTAATCTAGCAAAAAGACATAGTATTAAGAGGTAATCCCTATCCAAGTACTGGACTGGTTCTGACTAGGTAGTCTCCAAAATCAGCCAAGGTGTTGCTACTCTCTAGGACAGTTATGATTTATTGAAATCTATTTCACCAGTCATACTATAAAATTTGGTCTTCCGGTTATGGGTAGACTAGATATTTAGCTAATGTTAGTAATAATTAAACCATAACTTTATTTACTTAGAAGTAACTAAATAGCAGAAATTGAACCGAGACACTTGAATGGAATTCTGCTTTCACTGAAAGCAGAAGGACAAGATAGACCCGACTAACTTGTTTGTTTTGATTAGTGTCTCAATTTTGTGATTCTATCAGCACAAGCCACAGACTACTCAATCCTTCTTATTTGCCCTAAAAGAACATTTCTGTGTAATTTATCTTCAGTATAAGATGCAATCAGGGCAGCTTTTCCAGTTTTATGTAATAAAAAAGTCATTGTAAGGCTAGGGGTTTTCCTAACTTAGTGGCAGATTTACGCACAGATTGCTGCAAGTATATTTATTGATTTCTGTACAACCATATTCTGATTTCTTCTTACAATAGGTGATGGAATAAAAAATGTTTAACTAAAAATCAAGGAAAACAATGATTGATTCAGCCAATGTAGTACTAATTTCTCAGCCCAACATTGATTAGACCCTACTTCTTAACCTTCCTTCCTTCCTTCGTCCCTTCCTTCCTTCCTTCCTTCCTCCCTCCCTCCCTCCCTCCCTCCCTCCCTCCCTCCCTTCCTTCCTTCCTTCCTTCCATGATAATTATATTGTAATATAATTTGATCTAAATTATCATCCTAAAAAAAAAATCACAAAGTCAAAAACTTGGGAATGATAGCAAAACTAGGAGCTAAGGTGTAGTTGGAATGGGGTAAGATGTTAGAAAACAACATTGGTCAGCACTAGAAAAGTATTCTTCTTAACTTATGCAAGCAGATGCTGATAAGATGCTCCTCTGCCATACAAATAGCAAACATGAAATAAAAATGTGCTTATGCTTAAATGCCATATTTTATCATGGAAGTGACTGTACTTATTGTAGCAATGTAAATACAGTCTTTCTATTTGTTCTACAATTGCCCAATGTGAAGAATGCACCTCCATGCAGCTACTTGAGGTTGGATGAATAGAATATCATGCTTTGGATGCCCCATTCAATAGATCTGATGCAATATGGCTAACTAAGGCTGATGCCTTAAGAACTGCTGTGTAAAGATAATGAATCCCTAAATAAAAACTCTTAGAATGATTTGGCCCCATTTTAGAATCTGTAATTAAATGATGTGACATTCTAATATTCTTTTTATTTTGCTCAAGATATATTGTAGGAATGGTTAAAATATATAAAAGAAAAATGAAATTAAATGAATCAAGTTAACAGAACAAAAATGGTATACTTTTCAGAAATATGTGTATTGGTTTTCCATGGTTATTTAACAATTCTTATTTTATTGTAAATTGAAATGCCATAAGCTTATTCAACTCAATATCCATCTAATTGTCTTTGAATAAACATTCCAATCATTTCTAGCCAATCAGAATTATTATGCTAGACAGGAGAAGAGTGTTTTACCTAAATTCTGTGTTTTTCTTAATTGGAAGGACTCATTCATTTATTACTGTTTATGTGATAGGTTTATAATTCCTACAACAACAGATGCTGGTAAACTACAATAGATATCATGTGTAAAACATCAGACCTATATTTAAACACTATTGTATAGTTAAGCATTTCTATATACTGGAGATAGGATATAAAGCCAAAAAACAGTAATTAGTTAATACCCACTACCAAAATTCAAAGTGGACTGATACATGCCGTATTTGGTATAAATAAAATCTCACACTATAATCAACCAAAAGTTTAATTTAGAAATGTTCAGCTATCATTCTCAATATGTGGGTTTGAGAATTGTATTTCGACAATGAAGAAAGCAATATATATATATATATATCTTGAATGAATATAATCATTTCTATATTTTCAGAAAGCTTTATATTACAGCGTAATATGCCAGGGATATCAGAAAGTAAACAGACATTGATTCCTGTAGCTCAAATACACTAGATTGTTCTACACCTAGAAGTAAAGTAGATTAAATTCCACACATAAACATAGTCAATTCCATAGCTCCTACCAAATGCCATTTTGTTTTCCAGTTTAAAACCTGGGTTGAGTTTACTTATTACTCAGGCTACTGCAGAATATTGAACTGAGAAGAGTATCTATGCGATCAAGTGATTGACTTACAGTACACAAGTGAATAAGAATACCCGATATTTATGTCTCAGTATTTATAAGTATCGCTTAGAATCCCATTAATATTTTTTTCAGATTATACGTGCATCACTACAGATGCTCACTTTAGATTCTGGCTGCATACAATTAAGAAGAATAAATAGCTAAATAAAGCGCATAAAGGGAAGCTGTGGTTGGATGACAAAAATGATAGGTTTACAGTAGTAGGACAGGATCTCCAAAAATGTAGCAATGTGTTTGTTCATATTAAATAAATTTTATTTTTTTTCCCAGCAGCATCTACAGTATCTGGTAAGTATTGTTCTTCTACTAATGAAATTGATTCAATGCCACAATTTTTCTTTAAAGATATGAACCTTCTGAAGTAGGTACAGAAGAAAGGACATTGCAAAATATACACACTTCATTTTTTCCTCTTAGCATTGAGAAATATGACCAGGTTAAAGGGTTGGGAATGAATTACTTTCATTCAGATGCTGCCAACATAAATGGGAAAACAATTGTTTCATATTAAGCAGATTACAAAATTCAAACATTCAGTTCTTTTCCTCCTGCCTTCTACTTTCTAAATACATCAAATTCATGAGCTTGTAACCCAGGCTAAAAAGATTTCAAGATCAATTGCTGGTTATGTGAGTTACAGAAGGAATATTTCAGTTTAGATGAAGGAAGGGGGGGAAAGGAAGATTCAATAATATTTCCTCTGCATTTGTTGTCAGTTATGGAATCAGCAACACACATCCTAATCCATCATTTCCTTTACTAGACTTGGCACACAGAACCTGTACTCTCACTTCTCTCCTGCCTGGGTTGATCATATATATTTCTTAAGTACATATTTCTTACCTTCTTAAGTACATATTTTTTACCACCTGAAATTTTCAGGAGAATAGTAAAGATAGCTTGATTGTGTTTGCCATCAGGAAGTGTTGAGCTTGATCATCATTTAACAGAAGGCTTATCCATTAAATAAAATAAAGGTAGGCAAGGAGTTAAAAATTTAAAGGGTGAGGAAAATATATTCTGTCTATTCTAATTCTCCCAAGTAACCAATGGCTGCAGATTAAAATTCTTATCTTATTTTCTTCCATAAACATAATTAATCACAAACCAAACATCTGAGTAACAATGCATGGGGGATGAATAATGTGATTTTTTTCCCCCGTGAGTTACAAAGATGCCACTTCAAATTTATTTATTTTATTAATTTATTTTAGATTAAAACAATTATTCCTAAAAATACAAACAGTAGAGGAGAGATTAGATTGAAGATCTGGTCAATCAGTGGGACCAGAGGTTTTACCTTTTAAGCTTTTGGATTCGTGTGGAGCCCGTCCTGAGGGAACTTCTCTCACACCACATTCTGTTAGAGAGACGTCCCCTGAGGATGGGCTCCAGCATGAGTCCAAAATCTCAGAAGACTAAACCTCTGGTCCCAGTGATCAATCCTAAGACACGTACACTTTCCTTCATTCATGAGAGAGTAAATTAATCAAAATACTAGAGCAATCTTAAGATATCCCTGGTCCCCTGGGACCTTAGGCCTGATAACAAAGCCAGGTCTTGAGGGAGTTGTGGAAAAAAAGGGGGGATGGAGCTAACTTCACTTCAGGGGGGAAATGTTTCATTAACATGCTCCATGGCCAAAAAGGCCCATCTCCTAGAATCTGCCAGATTTAAGTCCCTAATAGACAGGATCCGAAGCATGCCCTTTCTTCCAGATCTAATGGAATGAGCAGATGTAGTTGGGGAGATAACCTTAGATAACCGTACTAAGACACGAAGTACTTTAAAACCAGCACCTTGAAGTGGTCCCGGAAGAAAACTGGCAACAATCCAGCTCATGGAGCACAGGGGTGACATGTGCTGTTCTGGGAGCACACATAACCACCCATGCTACCAGTTGAAGCTTCCAGATACTTTTCAAGGGCAACCACATGTAGAATGCATTACAACAGTCTGATCTAGATGTTACTAAAGTGAATGTGTCTGTGAGCAGAGTTTCCTGGATTCTACCACAGATGTATTTGTGCAAGTCTTCAAAGCTTTTAGTGTTTTGCTGATGATTGACTAGCAGGGACAATTTTAGTGAAGAGAAATTTATGCTGCCCTTCTAATAGTTTACTCCCTAAAGGTCAGGTACATACACACACACAAATACACAAATACCATAATATGACCAAACTATTCCAAGACACAATTTCCACCACATTTGAGGTTATGGCAAAACAATTCATCTTTATCTTTTTCATCTTCTTTTTAAAGGAATAACTGTCATGCCAAGTGAACTTTCAGCAACAGGTAAGTAGAACAGCTACATAACATAATCCATAAAATTAGTTTTGGCTATGCCAGCCTTATAGAATAAAAGAAACAAAATGTCTCCGCAAGCAACTGACATGCAACTATCCACAAGGTGTATGTGAGCTTCATTTGCAAATTTTTAATTTGTTAAAAGTACCTATTGCAGAATGCCTCGAATTTTCTTGCTTCCAGACATTTTTATTTCACCAGTCTTTTACTGAGTTGCCAATAGCATGAATTTCAAGACAGGCAAGTCAAATGCAGCTAATGTAGGCAATATTATAAGACGTGCAAGATCTTTGATGAATATAATGATGCCTAATGCTCGGTCTTCACAGAAAATAAAACAGGAAAAGGCGCACTTTTACTTCTTATAGCTGTGCCCTAATGATTTCATTGTATTATATTTTGGTCTATGTCAACTTTCTGCTTGTGCTGATTATCATGAGACCAAAACGACCAAGATTGTAAGGCATAAGAAACAATAAAATTTTAAAAAAAGAAAAGAAAAATGAAATTAAAAAAAAACCCATTGTGCTTATAGGAGCAGCTTCAGATAATAGCGCAGCCGGTAGTTATATTTTTGCTAAGAGATATTAGATATGGTATATTTCATTAAATATATACAGAAATCAAAGTAATAATCAATTAATATTAAATTCACAATTCTTAAATTAAGCTAAAGTATAAATTTTCACAATAAAATTTATAGAGTTGTACAATAGATATTATGTAATTTAATATGTTATGAAATATGACATTTTACTGTTTTTGTTTGATAGCTGAAGCTGGATGTGGCGGGATGTTTTCAGATGCCCACGGCTCATTTTTTGGCCCATATTATCTTGGAGAAAATAGAAATCTAAAGTGTGTCTGGACAATTAACTCCCCTGAGCACTATCCAATGAGACTAATGCTTAATTACATAAAGTAAGCATTTTCTTTTCAAATATCACTCAGTCATTTTAGTTCCTATCATTTCATTGGCCTTTTTGCATGAAAGGGGAACCAAGAGTGTTTTTCTCCAATGATGTTCTGTTGTCTGGTCCATGATTATTTTTGTCTCCTTTTTCTTATTCAGCTTAGATTGTGCTACTGAATATATTGCTGTCTATAATGGAGAACCAGATAGGTCAACTCTACTTAAGAAAATATGCGAAGGAGAAACAACACTATACTCTTATTCGGGCATGATGACCTTGGTAGTATACAGACATTCCAATACAGAAGGTCAAGGCTTCATTGCATTTTATGATGTAGGAGGTAAGCATGCTGCTTATTCTGTTTAATGAAAAGAGGGATGAGGGGTGACATGATAGCAGTGTTCCAATATCTCAGGTGTTGCCACAAAGAAGAGGGAATCAAGCTATTCTCCAAAGCACCTGAAGGCAGGACAAGAAGCAGTGGATGAAAACTAATGAAGGAGAGAACCAACCTAGAACTAAGGAGAAATTTCCTGACAGTAAAAATGATTAATCAATTGAATGACTTGCCTCCAGAAGTTGTGGATGCTCCAACACTGGAGGTTTTAAGAAAAGATTGGACAACTATTTGTCTGAAATGGTATAGGGTTTCCTGCCTGAGTAGTGGGTTGGACTAGAAAATCTCCATGGTCCCTTCCAAGTCCATTATTCTGTTATTCTGATACTTGTTGCTGTGTTTTTCCTACCATGGGATATTTTTGCTGACATTTTACTTCACCATAGATGTCTTTCTCTGCTAATCTCAGAAATCAGAATTCTGAGTTGTGATTTCAGATTTAGATTTGTTATCCCTTTGAGATAAGCACCAGTCCAGAATTAAGTTCCATGGAAAGAAATTACATAAAGATATAAACTCACCCTATCTTAGTTTGGGAAGGCTGCCCATTTTTCAGAACTGTATAAATAGTCAAAGGTGTTGCCAGAATTTATGTCATACAGAATGCTTTTCAAATATAGAGCATTTTTTTTCTATTTTTGCTTCCTTCTAGTTAGGACTAGAAGGGGATTTGGGAACGAGCTTTTTAGCAATACTCCTTCCTCCTTTGATAGCATGTACTCAGGACTTTGCCACCTCTGGGGACCGTAAGAGAGGGAAGTGTGCAAGCAACAAGAGAATATTCTGGCTTCTTCTATAGTCCTTTCTCAACTCTCACATTTTGGCAAGGAAGAGTAGACTTGTTGAACTTTCTAGAGCAAGAATGTGCAAGCCACAGCCCGGAGCCTCCTTCAGTTCCAGAGCTCTTAATCCATTCCATTGTGAACGTCTGGACATATATAACCTCCTTGGTCTTCTTCAGTTGAAGATGGTGCACAGGAAATGACTTTCCCATAGGAGGCTATGCCACACATTTACTAGATGTATATTGTAAGATGGCTTCAACACTAACAATATTATGTTATTGCTCAGATTGTTAAAATAAATGGACTGCTTACAAAGTTCACACAGCTGCTCTGAAAAATGTTTCCAGTTGTCTCAGCCCAAAGGTTCATGCCAAATCACCAAATTATTGGTGAATCCAGAGGAAATGTTGCATGTTCCTGTAGATGCACACTTAGACAGAGACATCTTTCTGCATTTGGTTCAGTCTAATTTTATATTAGCACTGGGCCTTTTTCAAATACTTTGCACACAAAGCAAAGCATCCAAAATCCAATATTACTGTTATTTCTGAGAAGAATTCTTGGGCTCATTAGTCCTTAAAACAAGCAAAACATAATTACAATTCAGTGTGACCTGAAGCTGTAGGATTGTAAGATGTATTCTGGTGGGCCACAGCAATGACAAGGAGATCCTCCCCTAGTTTGCTTTCTGGCTAAATTCTCCATGACAAAGTTTTATAAATGGCTACCCAATAATCATTTTGTGAGACTGCCCATGATACAATCTCAATCTGCAGATATGCTGCAATCAGCCATAGAAACATAGAAAACTGATGGCAGAAAAAGACCTAGTGGTTCATGCAGTCTACATTTGAAGGGTTTTTGTTTTGTTTTGTTTCTATTTATGTATTGTTTAAAAATTATTATTTTTACCTTCATCAAGATTACCTTCATTATGTAGAATCGCATGTGTGTCTCATCAAAGGAATCTTATAAATCTTTAAACTGAAAGTGGCTTCCTTTGTTTCTTTTTAGCCTTATAAAGTTCTTGTTTCAAATGGACAGGAATGTTTTCACAATCTATCTATGACAATTGTGGTCATTTTGAAATTATTTTAATCAGTACAATCGTTCTGTCCTTTCGAGCTGTGTTTTTCACCTTGACAACTTTAAGATGTCTGGACATCAACCCCCAGAATTCCTCAGCCAGCATGCTAAAGCCCAGATAACTTAAAGTACCTAAGGTTTAGAACTGAGAAGACAATGAATGGGAAGAAGCTTCTAGGGTTATTGGTAGGAAAAACAGTAGAAAAGCAGAGAAAACCACTGAGATTTATTTACTTATTTGTATCTCATCTTTATTATCTTTTTTACAAATAATTCATAACTGTTAACTAAAGATATTGGGCAAAGATTAATAGATTTTTTTTCTTATCAGCGGCTTTCACAACTCCATTGCCAAGAGTTGAACTCACAAGTAAGTTTGTACTCTCAATCTATAGTTTTCCAAGAGGTTTAAAAAATTATTGTTTGCAAATAATAAGTAAACTAAACTAAATAATCAACTAAATAATAATAGAACTACTATGGCAAAAGAAAGCAAAGGTAGTACCAATAGTAATAGATGCAATCCCAAAACAACTGGAACACCATTTGAACACCATCAGCACTGACAAATTCATCATCAGTCAATTGCAAAAAAGCAGCTTTACTTGGAACAACATACATCCTGCAACAATATATGCAACACAATCAAACATCCACATCTGCCTATCCCAGGTCCTTGGAAAGGACTTGAAAGGTGGTTAAAAATGCCAAATCCAGGCTACCTGTGCAATGGATCATAAATTGTCATGTTTACTCTTTGCTCAGGAATTAAGAACAATTTATACAATTCAAGAGGGTTACATTAAAATAAGATAGACATTCAAGCTTAGTCCAGAGATTTCAACAATATTACCAAACTCTAAATGCTATAAATAGTTTATCTTGTTTCTGGGAACTTCAGTCCCATTTCATTTGGAGAAATCCATGTTAGGAAAGTCTCCCATTTTACTCTGAGGTGTAAATAAGTTTTAACTGCCAAGCATTTACTGTGCAGGTATATGTGCTCAGGTGTCTATTTCAGGATCAATCATTTTTCATTATTCCAATCCCAAAACAAAATCACATATGGAAAGTGTTGTGTATTATTTGGTGGGAATGTTCTAAACTGGGGAATGTAAGTGACCATATTACTGCCTTTGTTATTTTATTCTTCTCTTCTTCCTTCCATTCTGCCTTTACACTGACCCTCATGATGGCTTTGAGAAAATTCAGTTCACTATCACATTTTAGTTGTAATCACACCAGATTTTAATGACAGGTTATAATAGTATCGACAATTAATACGAGTAATATCATTTACATATAATTTTATTTAATTTTATTTTCTGAACAGCTCATCCTGAAGAAACAAGTGGTAAGTTCCATAACCCCCTTTTCATGTCTTAAAGCCAACTTTTTCTGGTCAGCTACTCTGTGTGAGTGATTTAAATTACTGATTAAAAAACACCCTCATAGAAGAAATCCTAGAGTATTCCTTTCCTCAAAATCAGAAACAGTTAGTTGGATATTAAACCACAGAATATTAATTCAATATTCAGTAGTGAAAAAGTATTTTTTTTCTTAACAATAACAATAGTACTTAGACTTATATACCGCCCTATAGTGTTTTACAGCATCTCTGGGAGGTTTAGAAAAGTCAGCATTATTTGCATATTGCCCTCAACAATCTGGGTCCTCATTTTACAATCTTGTAGGATGGAAGGCTGAGTTAACATTCATTTTACTTTTCTTTATTGTTTGCTGGATATGAATTGCATTTGGTTCTCTTGTTATGTGAATGCATGGGTGGATCTGGAAGGGCATCAAACCTTGCTTCTATGTGAAGATATCCCTCGTTGGTTTGGCATTTTCCTGGAAGCAACCAAGTGGCAAATGTGTGGCACGCTCATTTCTCATTTTCTACTTCTCTTTATACCAAAGCAGATCATCTTCTGATAGCTAAGAAAATATAATTACTCTACAGAGTAATTCTATGTCTAGAATCTGAAGCTGTTCGTCTCATAGTATGCATAAGGTTCTGCTGTTTTAAATCCTGGTCCTAATTAATCATAAATAAGAAATCTATAACCCACATGACCCTTTTGGATAATTTTCAGTCATCCTGGAGGAAGGGCATTACCTAACCTTACATCCTGTACTTGCTCACTGCAATATTTGATCTTATTTGGTCATTAGAAATGAAGCAGATCTTTAATACTGATCTTCCAAATGACCTGAGCACACCTCTTTCCCCTTCTTTTTAATGATATTGATTCTATAGAAAATTATTCACAGCACCTTCCCAACAACTATCTCAATCTCTGGGAGCACATGGGAAACTTTGTTTTTCCATGCGTGTTAAGAAAGACATAAATACATGAAATATTGAATATGCCTCTTCCTTTTGGAAGCCACACGTGTCTCATATGCTGCCCATTCTAAATGACTTGGTGATTGGCTATTTGATAATTGGCTAATTACTGATTGTCAAATTCCATGAGTAGGTCAGAACAGGAGAAAGCTCTCTATGGGAGCACACTTGTCTCCAGAAATTTCTAGAAAGGTAGATTTTCCCCCTAGCCATTGCTTTTTAGGAATTAATAATTTAGGTTCCCCCTTAAAAACAGGCTTTAAAAGTATGTGCACGTGTGTGTGGATATATTGTGTATGTATAGAAACAGTTAATTCGATCAGAAAAAAAATAGGATTTGTTTATTACCTTTTTGGTGTTCTCTGTAGTTATATGTATTATCTACAGAGAGCTGATTTCTGACTGTAAATAGATGATGACGATAATTCTAAATCTAATAAAGAGACAGTTATTCTAGTTTTTATAAATTATTCACTGAAATATATGACTGGATAAATGGAATAGTGATAAAATCAACACAGTGTCATTTAAATATCCTTTCTTTATGAACAGGTTTGATGGAAACAACTTTTGGTGAGCAGCCAACTTCTTTTTTCCATTCCAAACCTGAAACTTTCTAATAAACTTACATGCATCAGTGATAGGTTTCATAACTTCCAACTGGATTTCTTTTTTAAAAATAATAATAATAATTAGCTTAATTAACATTAGCCTTTCTACATCTAGAAGTTCAGGGAAAGTATTGGCTCCATACCTGTGGCTGTCATCTCAAAGACTAATCTAGCCATCACTGATAAGAGGATAGATCATTGAGGAAAAAAGACTTCATTGAGTCATGACAGTGGTTGTTTCGTATTATAAACATTTAAATCTCTAGTATGCAAAGATCCTTCCTTAGTAACTAAGTGATCATGTATAAGCAGATTACTACAAAAGATACTTGAATATGAGCAAGCAGTATCCATCCGCCACCAAAAAAGCTAATACAATCAATCCTGGGTTGTATAAACAGTGGCATAGAATCAAGATCATGTGAAGTATTAGTACCTTTATAAATCCTAGTAAGACCACACCTGGAATACTGCAATCAATTTTGGTCACCATACTACAAAAAAGATGTTGAGACTTTTGAAAAAGTTCAGAGAAGAGCAACTAAGATGATCAAAGACCTAAAACACATGAAGAATGACTGCAGGACTTCGGTTTGGCTAGTCTAAAGAAAAGAAGAAACAGAGGTGACATGATAGCAGTGTTCCAGTATTTGAGGGGCTGTCACAAAGAAGAGAGGGTCAAATTATTCTCCAAAACACTAGAGGGCAGGACAAGAAACAATGGTTGGAAATTGATCAAAGAGAGAATCAATTAAAGAAATTAAGGAGAAACTTCCTAACAGTGAGGATAATTAACCAGTGGAATAGCTTGCCTTCAGAAATCGTGGGTGTTCCATCACTGGAGGTTTTTAAGAAGAGACTAGACAGTCCCTTGTCTGAAATGGTATCAGTACTCCTGCTTGAGTAGGGGGCTGGACTAGAAGACCTCCAAGGTCCCTTCCAGCTCTGTTCTATTCTATATTCTGTATCCCTGTAGTGTCATGTTGGGGAGTCAGGTAGATTTCACTTAGTGTATTCATTTCTTGCCTGGCTTCACTGTTATCCCACAAATATGTTCTGACTCTTTTTGTGTATTTTTTAGCTCCACCTACTCCAGCTCAACCTGATATCAAAACAATCAGACCAAAAGTGACCTCTGGTAAGAAAATTCACACTTTTATATTCTACAACCATGCCCTAATGAGTGATCAAAAATGTAGCCCAGTAATTGATTGTTATATTTACATCACTTATTGCATTTCATGTGACCAGGATCAGTGGAAGGAACATCTGGGGATTTAGTAAAAGTATCAAAAGAGAGAAATATTCACTAGAAAATCAGCATCAGAAATCTGTGAAATAAATAACTTTAATTCCAATTTTGTTAGTTTATCAGAATATAAAAGAAAATAAAAATAACAGGAAAATAGAGGACGTGAAAGGGAAACAGAAAAAAGCATCTTTTTAGCTCAGTAGAAATAATAACATTACAACCTCAACTTTTGCTTTTATACTTTAATATACACTTGCCATATAACAACACAACTATCTAATTAACAAAACCCAAAATCAAAGTTTTATTTTTTCCATCTCAAGCACAAAATCCAGAAGCAGTTTCCAAGTAGAAACAAAATTAGATGTGTTCTTTTCTTTGAATAAAGCAGTCAATTTAACCACCTTTACTTTTTTCCTTGTTGTGGGAAGTAATATATATTTCTATTTTCATTTATTAATTTTAATAAACTGTTATCATTTATATTAACTATACTCTTAACTATACTCTTTCAAATTATTTAACCTTAAAGGGACAACCCTTTTTTTACATTCATTTTAAAACTGTAAACTTTTCTTTAAAAATATTTCTAAAGTCAATGAATTCTAGTACATTTTTTAAAAAAACTTCTTCTTAACATACATACTTTCAAATTCACTTTTAATAATATTTTATAAACTTTAGGAATTACTCAAGCATTAGTGAAAGACAGAAAAATCCCATTTTCAAAGCCACTTTATAGACACAAATCCATACATTAGAACTTTCTTTCGATTAGATATAACAGACTAGTAAAAATTCATCCTAATTCCAATTAGCTCATTCAATTTAAGTCATTCTCTCAAGCTTGTCCTCATAGAATAAAATTATTTCTTCTCTGGAATAACTGTCAAGCAATTATAAACTTCTCTTTTTCTCAAGGGATTCTCAACCTTGATAGTATCCATGAAGACAAAGTTCCATAGTTGTTTTTTGAGAATTGTAGATTTACTTGGAACTCTTCTTTCAATTACGCTGGAAGACATGTATTTAAACGATCATCATAACAGAAATTAGTACCAGATTTATATTCCAAAAATTGTAGTTATATCCTTTGCATTGTCAGGTACTTGAGAAATTGCTTCAATGATTTGGTAACTTTCTTTATATAATAGCATTTCTGAATTACTCATCTTTTCCCCAATTATTTGAGTAGTTTGTTCCTCTTGCTTTTATAACGTTGTTAGAACATAATTGATCTATAAAGTGAATTATTTTATTTAAATATTTCTGGAGCAGTCTCTGGAAATCTGATACAGTCCATATTTTTTCATGCTCTTAGCTCCCTCTTGTGGGCAAGGAGTAATTTTTTTATACATCAATTTTAATGCTTCCTGGCCAATCAGAATTCATACAAATTGAAAAACTTCAGCCACCCACAACTAAACAATCCAAAGGTACAGATTACATAAAAATAATAAAATAAAACCAAATATTTTTATACTCTTATGTTTTCCGTCAAAGTTTTTTTGTTGTTTTTTTTTAAAAAGTACTCCATTCTTCCTTCTTTTAACTTGCCTCTAGCAGCCCCCTTCCTTGTTTACCAGTAAGAAAGTCTCAAAAAATAGTGCAGAACTTAAAAAAGCTATAAAAGGCTTTGACTGCAAAGAACGTCTTTTAGCTTAATAAAGATAATAATCCTACAAACTGATTAAGAAGTAAAATGCACAACTTATTGTCTGTTTAAAAATAAATTCCAAAATGGCTGCTTTTCAACAGCAAAGTGATTGCAGCCCTGCCTCCCTCCATCTGAAGGTGTCACCAGCTGCTTCAAAGCACAGCTCCTGATACTTCCTGCAGACTTGTATGGAGGATCTTGTGGGGTGATTCTAGGAGTATCCCTAACCTATGAGAGTCATATAAATTAAGGGAACATGGTTCCCTCATTAGTAGTTGAAGAAGTCTTGGTCCAGAGGAAACCTCACCAGACTGGTCAGTCGGCCATTTCAGGAGGTTCTGAAACAAATGACTAAAGTTATATCTGACAGCATCCATATTTTGCATCATCTAATACTTTTTCGGCACTACTGTATTCTCAAATCATAATCATAAGATAATCATAAATTATCTTATTCATGTTTGTCCAATAAATTAAGAGTATTATATGGACCTAGAAAAGGGTACATTAAAATAGATATACCTTAGCTGTAAATAGAGAGATCTGGTTTCTGACTGTAAATAGATGATGAAAATGATTCTAAATCTGATAAAGAGACAGTTATTCTAGTTTTTGTTCATTATATACTGAAACATATGACTGGATAAATAGAAGAATAATATGAAAAATAAATCAATAGGACTGATATTTAAATTTATTTTCTTTATGAACAGGTCTTATTGAAGAGTCTTAATGAATAACGTCTTAATGAATAACCAACTTCTTTTTTTTCCATTCCAAAATTGAAACTTTCTAATCAACTATTATGCATCAATGATGGGTATCATAACTTCCAATTGGATTATTTTTTTAAAAAAATAGCTTTTTCAGTGTTGATCTTTCTACATATAGAAGTTCAGTGAAACTATTGGCTCCAAGGCTATGGCTATTAACGCACCACCTGCTCCGAATCCGACCGGACACTGGTAAAGTCCCATTTAAGGACTTACCTAGTGGTCATAAGAGCAGCGAAACGAAACTATTTCTCCGCTCTTATCGCGTCTGCAGGTAACTGATCTGCTGCCCTGTTTAGGGTGTCCTGCTCCCTCCTTCATCAGAGGGTTCGGGACGCCCCTTTGCAGGGTCGGGCAGAGGAATTTGGGTGTTACCTGCATGACAAAATCGATCAGATCCGGGCCGGGTTAGCCTCCGATTGAACTAGTTCAGACGGGCCAATGGAGGCAGGTCTTGAGTCCACTTTTTGGGAAGAGTTTGATCCTGTGACTCCTGAGGACATGGACAGGATGCTGGGACGGCTGAACACCACCAAATGTCTACTGGACCCGTGTCCCTCCTGGCTGGTACTGGCCTCCCGGGAGGTTACACGAGGCTGGCTCCAGGGAATCGTCAACGCTTCTTTGAGTGAGGGGTTCTTGCTGGCCGCCCTGAAAGAGGCGGTGGTGAGGCCCCTCCTCAAGAAGCCCTCCCTGGACCCGGCTGTTTTGGCTACCGTCCTGTCTCCAACCTTCGCTTTCTTGCGAAGGTTGTCGAGAGTGTGGTGGCACGACAGCTCCCTCAGCACCTGGAAGAAACTGTCTATCTAGACTTGCACCAGTCCGGCTTCCGGCCTGGGCACAGCACGGAAACGGCATTGGTCGCGTTGGTTGATGATCTCTGGAGGGCTTAGGATAGAGGCTGTTCCTCTATTCTGGTCCTGTTAGACCTCTCAGCGGCTTTTTTTTTTTTTTTTTTTTTTTTTTTTTTTTTTTTTTTTTTTTTTTTTTTTTTTTTTTTTTTTCAATATAAATTTTTTTATTATTTTTCATCATAGAAAAAAACATCACAAATATTACACAATACTGTAAGAAAACCCACCCCCCACCCCCCCGGACTTCCCAAACCTAATCCCAGGATAATATTCAAATATAAGTAAAAAAATATTAATATCTCTAACTCCACAAAGTATATTATTCTACATGAGTAGGTAAAATATAAAAGAAAAAAAAAAAAAGCAAATTTACTAAAAACTTAAATTATATTCCTCCACTCTATGCTTCTTTTAGATATAAACAATCCNCCTTGAGGTGCACCTGGAGGCTCCAGCTAGTTCAGAATGCGGCCGCGCGGGGGATTTTGGGGGCCTCTAGATACTCCCATGTAACACCTCTCCTGCGCGAGCTGCACTGGCTGCCTGTGGCCTTCCGGGTGCGCTTCAAGGTGTTAGTAACAACCTTTAAAGCGCTCCATGGCAATGGACCTAGGTATTTGCAAGACCGTCTCCTACCAAATACCTCCCTTCGACCAGTCCGCTCCCACAGAGAGGGCCTCCTTAGGGTGCCGTCGGCCAGTCAATGCTGGCTGGCGACCCCCAGGGGGAGAGCCTTCTCTGTGGCAGCTCCTGCCCTCTGGAATGACCTACCCCTGACATACGTACAACTGCGGACCTGCGCCTCTTTCGCTGAGCCTTGAAAACCCATCTATTCCATGCGGCCGGCGTGGCGTAGTTCTGATTGTGTTTTGGTAGGGGCTTTTATATGGGGTATTTTAGAGCAGGCTTTTTATTCAATATTTATTGTGATTTTTATTATCGCCTGTTCACCGCCCTGAGTCCCGTAAGGGAGATAGGGCAGTATATAAATTTAAATAATTAATAAATAAATAAATAAATAGACTACTGTAGCCATTGTTGTTTGAGGATACATCACTGAGGAAAAAAGACTTCATTAAGTCATGACAGAGGCTGTTTCATATTATAAACATTGTAAATGTCTAGTGTGCAAAATCCTTCTTTAGTAAGTGGACATATATAACCACTTTACTACTAAAGATATCATCAACAGTGTCATGCTGGGGAGTAAGGTAGTTCCCTTACTTTATACACTTTATTTCATGCCTGGCTTCATTGTTATTATCTCAAAATATGTTCTGACCCATTTTTTTAGCTCCACCTACTCCAACGCAACCTGGTATCAAAACAACTACCACAGCAACCACACCAGAAGTGGTCCCTGGTAAGAAATTTCATACTTTTATTTTCTATAACCATGCATTCATGAGTGATCAAAAATGTAGTCCAGTAATTGATTTTTATATTCACATCACTTATTGCATTTCATGTGTTAAGGATCAATGGAAGAAACATGTAGGGAGCCTGTGGAGGGGGGGGGGCTATAAGCCACCTAGAGAGGCAATTCTGAATCAAATGAGAGAAGATTAACAATATTCTATGAATCAATGTCAGAATTCAATAAAATAGATAACTAAAGTTATACCTGACAACAGACATTTTGTATCTTCCCATACTTTTTTAGCACTAAAGTATTATCAAATAATAATCATAAAATAATCATAAACTATTTTATTCAATTTTTGTTCAAATAAAATTCAAATACAAAACAATATATTACAATAGATGTACCAAAGCTTCTTCAAGACAGAGAATTATATACTTGTCGTGAACCTTCCTTATTTAATTTTGAATACACACATGCACATATACAGATACATATATATACACACACACATATATTACACATACATACACATACACATATACATACACACAAACATAGTATGTGTGTATATAATTAGTGAAATTTTCCTTCCCCAAAGTATAACATTGAAAGGAAAGTTTATATGTATATAAGTACAAAATCATATTTCAGTCACAAATATGAAGATATATCAATAAAGAAAATGAACTTTATGGTAATTTAAGATGGTTATGGGCTAGTATTAATTCTACAAATACTAGTATAGAAATACTGTTAGAAATGTCCACATAAATATAATATGGAACAGGTTAAATGGTTTGTCTCTGTCTATTTTACCCCTTCAGCGTTAGNTCTGAAATAAGAACAGGACAAGAGATCCCCAAAGATATATCTTTTGCTGCTTCTACACTAAAGGAAAAAGAATGGATTCTTGTGACTCACCCAGAGTTGTGCCCACATGCTGTTGGTTGACAGACCTCTTCCAGGTTCAGTTCAAGGAGTTGTTCATGACCTATCAAGTCTTAATAGGCACAGGGCCATGATATTTGAGGGAACATCTTTCTCTGTTGCATCTACCCATACCACGTGGTCTGGCAGAAAAGGCACGTTTTGGGTCTCCTCTATTAAGGAGTAATCACTTGATGAGGTCTGGTCATGCTGTGCATGGCGCCCATTCTTTGGAATATTGTCCCCCCTCCCAGAGATTAGATTGGCCCCAATCTTATTGGCCTTATAGAAGACTCTCAACTTGTCATGATCCTTGGACCTGGAGCCTGCTAAATGTGTTTGTTGAGAGTGAAGCATGAATTATAGACTCCTGGTGATTATGTTCTTTATGGTTTAAATCAGGTTGTTAATAGTTTTATACCTCTTTTTTGTGGTTTTATTTTTATTTTATTTGGTCTTATTTTTGTTTAAAGTCTTTGAGTTGCCCAGAGTGACAAATGTGAGATTGGCAGATATGTATATTGAATTAAATAATTAGTGAAAAAGAGATATGTGCATTTTCCCGTGCAACCATCTGAATAGAAATTAAAAGTAGAGCTTTGGTAACATGAAAGTATCAGTTAACTGATTCTTAACTAACCCTGTCCTATGCAAAATTTCACAAATTCTCTGTATCTTTGAAGTTTCAGGTGCCTCATTATTTCCAGTTTCCCATTCAAATGCATGGATTCTGTTTCATTTTTCTCAGATGAATCTGTAAGACTGGTCAATGGTAAAAACAGCTGTGAGGGACGTGTTGAAGTCTTACGCAATGGATTGTGGGGGACCGTCTGTGATGATTCCTGGGATCGAAAGGATGCAACAGTCGTGTGCAAGCAGCTTGGTTGTGGACGCGCTATCACAGCATATGCAAGAGCTTACTTTGGTCAGGGCTCAGGAAATATAACTATGGATGATGTAAATTGTAGAGGGAATGAGGACAGATTGGAGGAATGTACTCATAAAGGATGGTATCTCCATAATTGCAACCATGGAGAAGATGCTGGTGTCAAGTGCTCAGGTATCTTCTGTAGTCTGAAATATAAGAAAATATTTTTAAAAATGCAATATGTTTACATGTTTTCCTTATAATGGAACAGGTTTAATGTTACAGATATTTTCAAAAATGTTATACATATCTTCAAATAAAGGAAAAAAATCACTTCCTAGGCAACAAAGATGATTAGGGGACTGGAGGCTAAAGCATATAAGGAACGGCTGCTGGAATTGGATATGTCTAGTTTAATTAAGAGAAGGACGAGGGGGACATGATAGCAGTGTTCCAATATCTCAGGGGCTGCCACAAAGAAGAAGGAGTCAAACTATTCTCTAAAGCGCCTGAAGGACAAGAAGCAACGGATGGAAACTAATTAAGGAGAGAAGCAACCTAGAACTACGAAGAAACTTCCTGACAGTTAGAACAATTAACCAGTGGAACAACCTGCCTCCAGAAGTGGTGAATGCTCCAACACTGGAAGTTTTTAAGAAGAGACTGGACAGCCATTTGTCCGAAATGGTATAGGGTTTCCTGCCTGAGCAGGGGGTTGGAGTAGATGACCTCCCAGGTCTCTTCCAACTTTATTATTATTATTATTATTATTATTATTATTATTATTATTATTATTATTATTATTATTATTATTGTTGTTGTTGTTGTTGTTGTTGTTGTTGTTGTTGTTATTGTTATTGTTATTGTTATTTTTATTTTTATTGTTGTTGTTGTTGTTATTATTATTATTATTATTATTATTATTATTATTATTATGCTAAATACATCCAGTTTGACATCTATAATGTTCCTCAAACAGAATATTAAGCCACAGGTTGTGAGGATTAGGCTTGTTATAATGAATGAGAATTAGGACACTTTTGTCAAAGACGATTCATGAAAAACTATTGTATCTTTTTAAAAAATAAATATTAGTTTTGTGGTGAGAACGCAATAGATACAGTATACATGCCCAAGTGCTATTATTAAGTAGCTTGACAGTTGGCCAAATGACTGTATCAAAAGAAGACTCATGGATGACTCAAGCTTGGAGGGGAGGTCTTGAGTGCCACAGAGCTCTCTTCCCTTTATTTATCAATATTTTAATCAATGACCTGGTTGCAGGAGTTGTGTAAACTCTAATACATTTTTACAGATGAATAAGACTAATTTCATTTAGCAGGTATAATGATCTCTTTTTGCCACCAATATTAGTCCCCCTGTATTTATTCATTCCATTGCTTGATTAACTTTGTTTTCTTAACAGGTTATTCTACACCTGCTCCTCCGGTGATAACGACAACCCCTGGTAAGTCTGCATCTGAGAGCCTCATTTGTCAATCAGAGAAATGGCTTTTGACGTTCTCTGCATTATTCACATTGCACATTATACATTTTGTAATAACAAATTATTCATTTCAGTCAATTCCCATTAATAATTGTAATTAATCACATACTGACGCTGGAGAAACAAGGCAGAGTGTTTACCTAAAGAAAGCTGCCCATTAAGCCCCGGAAATAGCAAAAGCATGAGAAAGAAGCTGAGAATGGCTTTCTTCAGCTAGCATCTGAAGGAATGAAAGAGGGCAAAACTCAGTCAGGCCTTGAAGACTGATGTCAGCCCTATAGGATAAAGCAGATTAAGAAACCAATTGGGACTGTAGTGCTATTCGCTGTATTAACAGATTCTTGAAAGCCTGACGAGGATGTCTCTCCTTCTCTCTCTTATTATACTGAATTAGGGATAAATCAATATTACCTTTTTTCTCATCTTTTTAAAGTTTCAAAAGCTTAAAGGATGTTTTTGTTTATGTAACTGTCACTGTCATGTCTGTGGCTCTCCACACTTCATTTTTATAGGCAGTCTTTGACTTACAACCACAACTGAGCCCAAAATTTCTGTTGTTATGTGAGACATTTGCTAAATGACTTTTGCCCCATTTTATGACTTTCTTGCCACACTTGTTAAGTGAATCTGGCTTCCCCATTGACTTTGCTTGTCAGAAGGTCGCAAAAGGTGATCACATGACCTTGGGACAATGCAACGGTCATAAGTATGAACCAGTTGTCAAGCATCTGAATTTTGATCACATGATCATGGGGAAGCTGCAAAGATCGTAACTGTGAAAAATGGTTATAAATCACTTTGAACGGTCACTAAATGAATTGTTATAAATCGAGGATTACCTGTACTTGTATATGCAAGTTATTGGCTGGCTACTTAATTTTCATCGAAACCATGAAACCTGATCATTTTAGCTTTTTTCTACCAAAAGCTAAAGATACTTCTGCAGTCATCAGTAATAAGTCTGCATCCCAACGTTCATTCAAATATATCTATATCCAATTTTTCCAGTATTTATATCCAATATATCCAATGTTAGCTAAATTTGGGAAGCACGTGGAGATTACATTATGATCATGCACATCCAATGGGGTACAGGTCCTTCGATCATAACGTAATATCCACATGTTTCCCAAATTCAGTAAATGGAGGATTGCAGCCATCTTTTTCTCATTTCAGCTATGAGCAGAAGTTCTTAGTCTTATATGGTCAAATGCTGCTTTTTGTTTCTGGGAACATCTTTCTGCTTTTGTATTGCTAAGTATAAAAATGGAATCTGCAGAAAGTTCTATGTAAAATCATCTTAATTAGAGCAGAGAGGAAAAAGATGTATATGTATACAGAAGGCAATTGTATCCAACCGTCTCTACAAGTCTTCCCAATTAAACAGTTATTATTACGGTTATTATCCTTTAGTCCTCTTATAATTGAATAACAACTTGAGAAACAGTACAAATGCTGTCCTAAAATCCTAGTTTGTGAAACAAAATGAAATTACGATGAAAATAGGTATGAAACCTGTTTAGTAAGGGTAGGGCAAATGTGCATAATCAAAATATATATATATTTAGTTATGTCTTTGCATATTGTAAAACAGTTGTCGATAGTATTCCCCAAATCTGACTATATTGGGCTTTTTTCAGCTACTTTGCTTCATATGTTTATGGATATCACTTTGTGTGCTATTTCTTTTTTAAAAAAAATATAAAACATTGCACTACCCTTGCCTTACAGATTTCCCTAATTAATTCAGTTTAAAAGTAAAATAATATGTTGGTGAAGTTGCCTCTATTGCATTTTTCCAAATTCTCAGACATTTAACTTTTTTTTATGAAACACCACCCTGGAAAGTAATTCTTGGCCTTATTTCCTATAACAAAAAGAAATTAACAGAGATTGGTAGCAGGGGAAATAGTTTTTAAAATCTACTAAGTTTCATGTGCACAATATTTGGCTTTGTGTTGTCTAGCAAATCAGTGTGGAGGCCAATTCACAAAAGCTTATGGATCCTTCTCTGGATCTTATTATTCTGGAAGCCACATCAATGAGACCTGTGTCTGGATAATTCGCGTGAGGGCCTTTGAACGCATCAATATTAAGTTCAATTCTATAAGGTAAGTTGAAAGATTCTTTTAACTTGTTCCTTCTATATACTTAATAAATGTGTTTTTGAGTTTGTAACCCACTAATATATTCTTGGTGTATATCAGCAACAATTATTATTCAAGAGTAAGTCAGACTGGGTTAACAGGCATGATATACATTTGGGATGACTAAAACTAAGCAATCAATTCAACACTTAACTGAATTCAACATACTTCCACTGAAATAATGTCTTTACAATTTTACAATAAATATGCCCCTTAAAAGAAACTCTTAAGTATTCCTTTTTGGCTTACATGATTATTTCTTTCTTTAAATGATTTAACATAATTTGGTGTACAGGTAGTCCTTGTTTTTTTACAATCACAATTGGGACCAGACTGTATGTTGTTAAGCAAGGCCATTGTTAAGTGGCCTTGCTTAACAATTTTATAATTTTTTTTTGCCACAGTTGTTAAACAAATCATTGCAATTAAGTGAATCACATGGTCATTAAATGAAACCATCTTCACCCATTTACTTTGCTTGTTGGAAGCTGGCTGGGAAGATTGAATATGGTAATTACGTGACCCCAGCGGGACACTGCAGTTGTCAAAAAATACATGCCGGTTGCCAAGTGCCTAAATTTGGATCACATGATGCTGAATATTGCAACAGATGCAAATCCAAGGACCAATCATAAGTTCCTTTTTTCAGTGCCATTGTAACTTTGAATGGTGGCTAAACGAATGGTTGTAAGCTGAGGCTACTTGTAGTGGTTAAGGCATCAGGCTAAAGACTGGGAAACCGTGAGTTCTAGTCCTGCCTTAGGCACAAAGCCAGCTGGGTGACCTTTGGTCAGTCATTTTCTCTCAGTTCTAGAAAGGAAGTAGTGAAAAAAAAATCACTGACAAGGTTTGCCAAGAAAACAACAGGGATTTATCCAGGCACTCACAGAGAATCAGATGTGGTCGAATGGAAGAAAAAAAATGATGGCATAATAAATGATAAGGAGTCAAATCTTTATCTATTTCTGTACAGCCTGGACTGTGATAAAGAAAGTATTGAGATTTATGATGGACTCCAATATAGTTCATCTCCAATTGGAAGAATTTGTTCTGCTGCCTATCTCAACTATACCTTTTCATCAACTTCCAACATAATGACAATAGTTTTGCATAGAGATTCAGATTATTCAGGAAATGGATTCTTTGCTCATTACTACTCTGTTCCAGCAGGTAAGGATATTTATGTAATTCATTTAAGTTGTATCCTGTTAATGATGTGAGTTAGGGATTCAGTATTATTTTAAAGAAACTTCTATTTAGTTTTATACTGTGTAGGGCCATTGGTTCATATGAATATGGCACTGTTTCAGCAGCCTATCTTCATAAATGAAATAACCTTTACCGTCTTTGAACTTTCTGAAATTGAATGATATTTAAATAAATGAAACAAAATAAAAACACAACAATATAACAATAATACAATAAATTGGAAATGGCATTAGATCCAACAGAGCAGAACACCACTCCTTATCACTCATATAATATTTAGACTGGGAGAATCAACAATGTTTTAGGATGGAGCTAGACTAGTGGCTGTGTAACAGTTGTATCTTCACAAACAAGAGAGGTGGTACAATAGAACAGATTCTCTTTAGTTGTGTCACATAATATATTCAAAGTGCTTAGAGAAATGCTTAGAGGAAGTTCAAAAATAGGTAAATGGGATGCAGACATTACTTTCAAGCCATTTAGAATTTCAAAAGTAAACCTTAAAGTAAGTATTCAGTACAACTCTTTCAGCACTGATATAATCAGTGGTGGGATTCAGCCAGTGTGCACCAGTTCGGCAGAACCGGTGGCTAATTTTTTGTTGCCCAGGCCCAGAATGGACATCCAGAAGTGGCATCCACACAGAGAACTGGTTGTTCACATATTTGAATCCCACCACTGGATATAATCCAGTTTGGTTGTACTCGTTTGTTCAATAACTGTACTGATTGTATTTCAATAGAAGCCTCACCATATGTAATCCAATCTCATATGTTCAGGTCACTCAACCTTTGTTCTCCCCATTTGACCCATCGCTTCTAAGAGATTTCAGATTTGGTTCCAAAGCAGCCAATCACTACTTGCCTGTTGGGCCTTGCCACCAGATGACTGATGCAAAGGCCAGAGGGAGGTGGGAAAGAGGGTGGGGATACAGCTACACTATCTTCCCCTGTGCCATGCAACCTATGGGATTCTGGGAAGTATAGTTGGAAGGCGCAGTAGTGCTGAAGTGGCCACAACTTCTCCAGGGGCCTTAGCATTCTGTAAGTTAGCCCATATGAGTTACCTCGGTTCAATAACTGTTGCCCTATACTTTCCAATTTCACCCAATTAAGATTACAGACCCAAGAGTTTTAGTAGTATATAGATTGAACAAAAGTAATTATCATCATGTTTAATTGTTTTATATTGTATTCACAGAACCGATACCTACTACACCAACTACTGCTCCTAAAGCTACGAGTAAGATATTATTCTTTTTCTTTGATATTGTTTAGTTGATGAGTTGTAAAGAGTTAAGCAGGTCACTGGAGATCACAGGTTATCTAAGTTATCTAGGAATAAGCCCCCAAATGTTCTACAAGTATTGTGGCAGGAAGGTAGGAGGATTTGAATCCACTACATGATATGAATCAAGCATGTTTATTTGCTTTGTAAAAAATATGGGTTAGAGATGATGAATTTCCCCCCCATCCCCTCAATTTGGATCAAAGTAGCAGCAGGCATAGTAGAATAAAGGTTTCTCTTTGTTTTCTCTTAAAGACTCATTCATGAATTACTACTGTCATATTTAGTGTGTTTTCAAAATGCCAGAATCCTGCATTTCATAGTCATTTGACTAAGAAGTATTTTCTACTCTGCAAGGGATTGTAAACCTAAGATTTAAAAAGATTTTTTTAAAAAGATTTAAAAATATTATGCTTTCACCATTTATATGTCTAAATCAAGCAACAGATTAAAGTTTAATAGTACTATTAGATAGTACAGCAATCATGAATATCATTTTGAATAAACTTCAGCATTAACCTAATCAAGTAATTCTATTCAAAGACCAATGTTGGTATAATTGCTTAATAATTTAATGAATATTTAATTTCAAATGAGCTTTCCTGATTTCCTAATTTTAAGTAAATCTTTCAGTCCTCTTTAAACTGAATTTAGATAATAGGCTTACTCCTTTTTCCTACTTTAGAGTCTACCTTTGAAATTTAGAATGAGAAATGTAGAAGTGCAGAAGTTTGAACATCTGTCTTAGCAGCCCCTGAAATCTTCATTTTTCCCTCAGGAAATCTTGCATTTATTTCCTTTTCATAGTTCCTATAGATTATAATACCATAGTATATGTCAAGTTGACCGTAGTGTGCACTCTGATTCTTGATCCAGATTTATGGAATTTCTTGATTGCATGTAAACTTGTGAAGGCAAGTTTACAAAATCCTAAATCAATAAAAAAGAAAAAGAAAGCTAGTTAAACATTTTAATATTCTCCTTGTCATTATGATGTTAGAAAAAGGTCTGTCGGCTATTGTAAATTGAACAGTTAAACCACCAGTTTGATGAAGATGTTTACTTTTGTTATATTTTCAGTTTCCCAGTTTGCGTTACAATTGCAAGAATTGTAGTTTTTCTTTTTTAGGATCTCAGTTATAAAATATATTTGTAAGAATCTGAAGAGTCCTGGAATCATATATGTACATAACTGGTCTGCGGTTTAACAGATTATGACCGAAGAGGTTGGATCATACGACCCTGATATCTAACTCCTTCCAAATTCGTGCTGTAAATGGGAAACTGTGTTAATACTTTTCTATCATCCCTACTTCAACACCGTACTATTTTGTCAAATAAAGAATCAAAACTAACCTTGAATTATATAATACTATTATGTTATGATTCGAACATAACAGTACAAACTGATACACAAAGAAGTGAATTCAGTTAGGACTCATCTAACATTATTTTGATTATATAGAACATAAGCATTTATAAAAAGAGTTGTTTAGCTTCCAGAGAGAAGTGGAATTTGACATTCTAGGTACAGTTTCACTGAAACCAATTTGTTGTTTTAAGGCTTGTGATCTTCCATTTTTTTAGTTTACTTTTTTAGTTCAAAGGTCCATGAGTGTACTTCTGATCAACTTCTTTTACTGACATTAAGTATTCCAAAAATTGATCGATGATTGGGTGGTTTGTATTACTGACCTGTGAATATAACACATACACAAATTGACTTCTCTCTCCCTTTTACTGCATATTCCTGAAAAGGATAAGATGGAGTTATTTTGTAATTGTTTCTGTTAAACCCACTTTTCTATGTGTTATTTTATCTGGATGCTTCTACCCTCAGGGAAAGTGAAAGTCTCCTTTGCTGGCTAAGTAGAAGAGATATTTCTTAATTAGTTGATCTGGTCCCAAAGCAGATTCATGAATTAAAATAATACTAATAATTAGATGTATTTGCATTTTGCTTAACGTTTCTGTTTTATTATTTAGGGCTTTTGTGTTCTGATGGACACATGAGTGCATGGATCAGCATACCTTTTCTCCATTCAGCCGGTTATAATGCATCGCAAGTTTACCTGAACTCTTCAGATAGAGAATGTTCAGCTCAAATCAGAGGCGATTATGTTTACTTTAATATATCATTCTATGGTTGTAACACAGAGATAAGGGTGAGAATTAATTGTTGTTGTTAAAACTAATAATTATCTGCTTTGTCGCTCTTCCTGTCTTAACTATTATTATAAGAAAATTTACTCTGGTTTTGGATTTAAAAAGAACTAATGTTATGTTTATCAACAATACAAAATGTGACTTCCGGTTGGATCCCGGCGCCGATGGCGGCTTTTCTCCGAACCGTCCACCCTGAGGACGTGTAAGAGCCGCAGGAACAGCGTCTAACAATACAAAATGTAACTTTAAAGTTAATTTCAGATCTTGGGTTTGAGAAGTTCTGCTTAACTTTAAATACATTAACTGGAACCAATATTACAATTAAAATAAAAAAGGGAATTTTGGAAAGGAGAAAAAAAATTGATATCCTTATGTCTTTGAGACTGACTTCCTATTTCATCATCTGAGTTGTGGAAGAGCCAGGGTTGTGGCTACTGAAATGATTGTAATGGGTAACAT